ACTATGCAAGGCCCGATTTTCCTAATATGCCAAGTTTTCCTGAATTAATTGTTTTTCGACAACCTAACCTACCTAACCTAACCTAACCTAACTTTTTCGGCTACCTCACCTAACCTAACCTTTAAAGATAGGTTAGGTAGGGTTGGTTAGGTTTGGTCATATATCTACATTAATTTTAACTCCAATAAAAAAAAATTGACCTCATACATAATGAAATGGGTAGCTTTATCATTTCATAAGAAAAAAAATAGAAAAAATATATTAATTCAGGAAAACTTGGCTTATTAGGCAAATCGGGCCTTGCATAATCGGCTGAGAAGTGCGTTCTGGCTACTAGGTACGACATATATATATATATATATATATATATATATATATATATATATATATATATATATATATATATATATATATATATATATATATATATATATATATATATGTCGTACCTAGTAGCCAGAACGCACTTCTTAGCCTACTATGCAAGGCCTGATTTGCCTAATAAGCCAAGTTTTCATGAAATTATTGTTTTTGGACTACCTAACCTAACCTAACCTAACTTTTTCGGCCACCTAGCCTAACCTAACCTATAAAGATAGGTTAGGTTATATTCATATGGCTCGCGGCTACATGGGATTCACATTAGCTTCTTCAGGGCTCTTGTAAACAGACACCATTTAAAAAAAATCGTGGGCAATATTCTCAGGTGTGAGAGGCACAGTACTGTTGGAGCAACCAAGGCTGGCACACGCAGCATGAGCGAATAGCATTGCTGTTCAGCTTGTGACCACAGCATCGCCGAAAAATGTCAAAATAAGTATATAACTGCTATTATTTAGCGATGACAATTATACAGATGACTCGTGACTGATAAAAATGACAAGGATTGTGATAATAGCAGGATTGTTGTGATAATTAGCGCTGTGGGAGGAGTGATGCTGAGGGACGGAGGGAGATAGCACCCTTTACTGACTGGTTGGCCACTTGTTATTGTCTTCATTCAACATACCAGGTCAGTGGTTCTCTATGGTGAACACGAATGTAGATACTTATATATAATGTGTGTATTAGTGTAATAACAGCAAAAGGATTATGTTGGGTGGAGCCATTTGGGTGACGGAGGTGACATCGTCTGCATGACTTGTCTGGCTGTGTGGAGAGTGGCCACTATGCTCTTTGGGCACTCTATAAGCTTAGGTGTACAGCTGCGGTGCATACAACATGTAGATACTTACATATAATATGTGTATATTATGTAATAACACTGCAGACAGTATTGTTGGGGGAGAAAGTTTAGTGCGTGTGACCTTGAATGAGTGAGGGAGCCGCCTGCTGACTGAGTATAGCGACGACTCTTATTGCCTGAACTAACTATATCAGCTTAGTTGTACAGTTATGGTGAACAAAACATGTAGATACTTATATATAACGTCTGTATATTGTGAATAAAATATAAAACAGGATGGTGGGAGGAGAAAGTGGGCGAGTGAGGCGTTGTTGAGTTAGTGAGTGGCAACATGTGGCGGTCACTCTTCGTTGCTTTTTGACTCTCAATACAAACTTAAGTGATTCATTATGGTGAACAAAACATGCAGATACTTATATATAACCTGTGTGTATAGAGTGTAATAACAGCAAAACTATTTGTTTATTCTTTTATGAACATAATTGAATCACTAATATGCACACCATACCTTTGAGTATAGCAATTATTCACCCCTTTTATTATTTAAATTTATCACAATACTCATTATTGAATAATATTACTGAAAAAACTAAGAAAAAATCAATCAGACATAAAATAATTAAGTGATAATATCATTGTGGCAACTCTCACCTGTCAGCTCGGGTGACGCTGATCGGCACTGACGACCGCGCCGTCAATGTCCACATTTTGCCAAACTTCCTCGGCCTATTGCACCCAAAATATGTCACCTACGATTTTTTCCCGTGCTCAAGGAACACAAATTAACATTTTTAGAAGACGAAATAATTTTTTAGATTTTTTTTCATGCGCACAGGGGTGTAAATCCCCTCAGGACCCCTTAGCAGTTTAAGGGTTAATCTTACCCTTTTGGTCATATTCAACAACATATGTTTACAAGAAAGACTGCAACAAAAATATACTAATATTAAAACGCACGATCGAGAAGCAAGAAACCAAGCCTTCGCGATAAAATATCGTCAAGATATGATTCGAAATCAGATACGCAAGGTAGAAAATGAGATCAACAATAGCAAAGCGCAACTACTTCATGCTACAGACCAATGGAGAAACATCAATATCGACAAAGACCTTCGTAGTCGAATCGACCAACACCTCGACATCCTTATTGATCGACATCGCAATTGCACCGAAACCAGGATCATCAAGAAACTGACAACGTTATTTGGAGGACTTATGGCGATTCCACGACCCAGAGATGGCCTCTTAAAACATTGCTGGAAACAACCTCACTGAGGACCAAATCACTCTCTTAAATCTGGGTATAAACTGTCACGTTATGTCTAGACCAAGTGAGATGGCCTGGAAAGTGGTGTTGGAGATCCTACTGAACGACATATTTGACCTCGAGACGCAAAAGAAGGTTACCACTAAAGACATCTTGCAAGTGGAAATTATTGCAGAAGTAGGAAAGATTCGCGGTAACTACAGAAGCACTATACTGTCCCCCAAGCTCAAAGCGGCAGACAAAAGCCTTCGTGAGAACAAGGTGTCGTCAGGAGAGGCGACAAGTCGCCAATATACGTTATTATTAAAAAAAAGACGAATATGTGGCAAAAATGAACCTCATATTCTCTGATCAAACTAAATTCCGAAGGGCAACGAAGGACACTACAGCTGAATTGAAAACGAAGGTAAACAGATTGATCGAAACTGTGAACGCCAAGAAATCCGGACTCCACCTGCCCAACGATATTGGGAACGCAAACCTGGTTATGCTTATGGGAATGTCAAGACCCACAAGCCTGGAAACCCACTTCGGTCAATCATCAGCCAGATACCCACACCCACAAACAGACTGGTTAAGTGACACAACTGCTTGCTGACTCCTTATGTACCTTGTGCTTTCAGCCTGATGTCTCTAAAGGAATTCGTTGACTTGCTGCAGGGAGCATGGGCCATGGTGATAGGAGCCTCTTTGGATGTAGAGTCGCTGTTTACCAACGTACCTGTAGATGAAACAATCGGGATGATAATGGACAGAGTATAAAGTGATCCGGCTTGTACTCCTCTTGACATACCAGAAAGCATACTAAGAAAGCTACTCCAAGCCTGCACTAAAGAGGCACCCTTCTTGAGTCCAGATGGGCACATGTATAAGTATGTAGATGGGGTCGCCATGGGATCTCCTCTAGGTGTCTTGTTTGTGAACTTGTACATGGGTACCATAGAGAATAGGGTCTTGGTTGACGAGGACTTCAAACCTGCCATATACTGCAGGTATGTTGACGTCATTTTTATTCAGGTATCTGATGTCAGACGTCTGCAGCAGCTGAAGGAGCCATCCGAGAAGAATTCTGTGCTAAGTTTCACTTACGAGGTGGAGAATGATGGGAAGCTGCCCTTTCTAGATCTAACAATCACGGAAAGGAACGGAGTCTTCCACACTGCAGTCTACACTAAGGAAACAAACATAGGAATGTACTTCAATGCCAACAGTGACTGCCCAGACAGGTACAAGAGGAGTGTTGTCAACGCTGAAGTCGACCGTGCTCTCAGTCACAGCTCAGGATGGAAGCAAGTCGACGAAGAACTCTGTAAGGTAAGGCAGGACCTAGTCAACAATGGCTTCTCCAATGGTTATGTTGAAGACGTCATAAAAAGAAAGTTGAAACGCCATGCAACCTTTGAAGAGACAACTAACAAAACACCTGTACCCCCTATTAGACTGTTTTACAGGAACTTCTTTTCCACAGCTCATAAAACAGAGGAAAGGGTCCTGAAAGATATTATTATTAGGAACGTTATCCCTGCAAACAAAAATCAGAACATAAATCATAAAAACGGCCAACCTACCCATGAAAAATTCCCCAGACACCAAACAAAACGCCTTGAAGGAAACCAACGTCGTCTATGCATTTATATATATATATATATATATATATATATATATATATATATATATATATATATAATATATTTTTTCTCCTACCACCCCTATTATTTTTGTTTATTAATTTGATTAAAGTGTGTTACAGTTTACGGAAAACACACACACACATAACAATCACTGTCTGAAGACTTCATCCATGATGAGGTCATCACGCCCCACCTCCGGGCGTGTTCCCAAGATACAGCACGCATTTCCGTACGTGATCAGCACATCACATTGCACGCACAGCACATTGTTCACTGTTTACAGCACCTTGATAAAGAGTGTAGGTTGCATCCGAAAATTTATTTTTAAAACACTTACACATATACTAGGTCTTTCCTTCAACTTCATTCAAACACTGAATGTGTTTGCTCAATGCTCAATTGAGCATTGAGCTCAATTTCCCAATAATAATAATAATCTTTTTAGGCAGAAGTACATACATACATAAGATACAAGAACTGTGTAGGATTCCTAGGTACGACCAGCACAATGCCTAAAGCCACTAATACGCAAAGTGTTCCGGCCATAATGTGATAAACAATGGCTAACAATAAAAAACTCAGTGGGATAACTTAAAAGAAAATGTGATCAGAAACACTTAAGAACTGAAATAGAAAAATTAAAAAGTAGAAACACAATTATTAAGTGGTGATCGGAATAACAGAAATTGCATTAAGAACAACAGATAGGTATTTTCAAAATAAACAGATAGTATTTAATTTGTTATTACATTTGTACGTGAATAGGATGCCTACCACTGGCTATAACCAGTTTATTCTCATCATGGAAATGTGAAAGCCACTTAGCCTGGATGGAGAGGGAATCCTTGTGTGACAAAGACAAATTCCTCATTATTATTATAGAATAAATACAATACTATTAGCAAGCGGAACTCACAACAAAGTGGTAGGTGAGAGGCTGGGTGAGGTTCCCGAACATGTACTTAGGAAACTCCAGGAGAGCGTTGCCGTTGACGAGAAGCTCATGAAGGTGCAGGTTGTTGATGAGGACAGGCAGCTCCACCAAGGTGTTCCAGTGAAGGTGAAGGATCTGGAGTGCTCTCAGAGGCTCCACACTCAGAGGGGGAAGTTGGCTCAGCTGATTCAGGTGCAGGTCCAGCACTTCCAAGTTAATCTTAAGTAAATACGAATCATGTGTTGGTGCCAATAATTGTTTGCAGGAGTCAGGAGCATTAATGTTAATTTTTTTATTTTAGTTAATTCATTTTGGTGGGGACAGCCTGTATTATATATATGTGTGTGAAAATATATATATATATATATATATATATATATATATATATATATATATATATATATATATATATATATATATATATATATATATATATATATTATTAAATATGACCGAAAAAGTAAGATTAATAATTCTAACACGAATTTTCTCAATCTTTCGTACATTACGCTTCACTGTTGGAGGTAAATAAAAAATCACTTCTCCAAAATTCATTTTTATTTCTAGTCTGACGCGACACGGGCGCGTTTCGTAAAACTTATTACATTTTCAAAGACTTCACAAATAAACAACTGATTAGAACTTACGTATCTCTGATTTTATATCTACATTTGAGTGAGGTGGGAGGGGTGATGTGGCATTAACACAAGACAGAACAACAGGGGATATTAATAGGGTATTAAAAGTATCAAAACAAGACAGAACAGAAACAATGGGTATTGAATAGAAGTGTTTGTAGAAAGCCTATTGGTCCATATTTCTTGATGCTTCTATATTGGAGCGGAGTCTTGAGGTGGGTAGAATATAGTTGTGCAATAATTGGCAGTTGATTGCTGGTGTTGACTTCTTGATGTGTAGTGCCTCGCAAACGTCAAGCCGCCTGCTATCGCTGTATCTATCGATGATTTCTGTGTTGTTTACTAGGATTTCTCTGGCGATGGTTTGGTTATGGGAAGAGATTATATGTTCCTTAATGGAGCCCTGTTGCTTATGCATCGTTAAACGCCTAGAAAGAGATGTTGTTGTCTTGCCTATATACTGGGTTTTTTGGAGCTTACAGTCCCCAAGTGGGCATTTGAAGGCATAGACGACGTTAGTCTCTTTTAAAGCGTTCTGTTTTGTGTCTGGAGAGTTTCTCATGAGTAGGCTGGCCGTTTTTCTGGTTATCATAAGAAGGAAAGTGAAAAGCCATGCAACCTCTGAAGAGACAACTAACACAACACCTATACCCCCTATTAGACTATTTTACAGGAACTTCTTTTCCACAGCTCATAAAACTGAGGAAAGGGTCCTGAAAGATATTGTTAATAGAAACGTTATCCCTACAGACAAAAATCAGAGGATACAACTGACGATTTACTATAAAACCAGAAAAACGGCCAGCCTACTCATGAGAAACTCTCCAGACACAAAACAGAACGCTTTAAAAGAGACTAACGTCGTCTATGCCTTCAAATGCCCACTTGGGGACTGTAAGCTCCAAAAAACCCAGTATATAGGCAAGACAACAACATCTCTTTCTAGGCGTTTAACGATGCATAAGCAACAGGGCTCCATTAAGGAACATATAATCTCTTCCCATAACCAAACCATCGCCAGAGAAATCCTAGTAAACAACACAGAAATCATCGATAGATACAGCGATAGCAGGCGGCTTGACGTTTGCGAGGCACTACACATCAAGAAGTCAACACCAGCAATCAACAGCCAATTATTGCACAACTATATTCTACCGACCTCAAGACTCCGCTCCAATATAGAAGCATCAAGAAATATGGACCAATAGGCATTCTACAAACACTTCTATTCAATACCCATTGTTTCTGTTCTGTCTTGTGTTGATACTTTTAATACCCTATTAATATCCCCTGTTGTTCTGTCTTGTGTTAATGCCACATCACCCCTCCCACCTCACTCAAATGTAGATATAAAATCAGAGATACGTAAGTTCTAATCAGTTGTTTATTTGTGAAGTCTTTGAAAATGTAATAAGTTTTACGAAACGCGCCCGTGTCGCGTCAGACTAGAAATAAAAATGAATTTTGGAGAAGTGATTTTTGATTTACCTCCAACAGTGAAGCGTAATGTACGAAAGATTGAGAAAATTCGTGTTAGAATTATTAATCTTACTTTTTCGGTCATATTTAATAATATATGTCTACAGGAAAGACTGCTACCAAAATATACTAATATATATATATATATATATATATATATATATATATATATATATATATATATATATATATATATATATATATATATATATATATATATATATATATTATTAAATATGACCGAAAAAGTAAGATTAATAATTCTAACACGAATTTTCTCAATCTTTTGTACACTTCTTTTCACTGTTTGAGGTAATTCAAAAATCAATTCTCCAAAATTCATTTTTATCTCTAGTCTGACGCGACAGTTGAGCGCGTTTCGTAAAACTTATTACATGTATCGTGATCCAGCCTGTACTCCTCTTGACATACCAGAAAATATTCTGAGGAAACTACTCCAAGCTTGTACTAAAGAGGCACCCTTCTTGAGCCCGGATGGGCACATGTATAAGCAAGTAGATGGGGTCGCCATGGGTTCTCCCCTAGGTGTCCTGTTTGCAAACTTCTACATGGGTACCTTCGAACAAAAGGTCTTAGTCGACATGAACTTGAAACCGGCCATATACTGCAGGTACGTTGACGACATTTTTACACAGGTACCTGATGTCAGACATCTGCAGGAGCTGAAGGAGGCATTTGAGCAGAATTCTGTGTTGCGTTTCACTTACGAGATGGAGAAGGATGGGAAGCTGCCCTTTCTAGATGTAACAGTGATGGAAAGGAGCGGAGGTTTCCACACTGCAGTCTACACTAAGGAAACAAACATAGGAATGTACCTCAATGCCAACAGTGACTGCCCAGACAGGTACAAGAGGAGTGTCGTTAACGCTTATGTCGACCGTGCTCTCAGCCACAGCTCAGGATGGAAGCAAGTCGATGAAAAACTCTGTAGGGTAAGGCAGGTCCTAGTCAACAACGGCTTCTCCAATGGTTTCGTTGAAGACATCATAAGAAGGAAGGTGAAACACCATGCAACCTCTGAAGAGACAACTATTACAACACCTGTACCCCCTATTAGACTATTTTACAGGAACTTCTTTTCCACAGTTCATAAAACGGAGGAAAGGGTCCTGAAAGATATTGTTAATAGAAACGTTATCCCTACAGACAAAAATCAGAAGATACAATTGACGATCTACTATAAAACCAAGAAAACGGCCAACCTACTCATGAGAAACTCTCCAGACACAAAGCAGAACGCTTTAAAAGAGACCAATGTCGTCTATGCCTTCAAATGCCCACTTGGGGACTGTAAGCCTCAAAGAATTCAGTATATAGGCAAGACAACAACATCTCTTTCCAGGCGATTAACGATGCATAAGCTACAGGGCTCCATTAAGGAACATATAATCTCTTCCCACAACCAGACCATCACCAAAGAAGTCTTAAAAAATAAAACGGAAATCATCGATAGATACAGCGATAGCAGGTGGCTAGATATCTGCGAGGCACTACACATTAAGAAGTTGACACCAGCAATCAACAGCCAATTAATGCACAACTATATTCTACGCACTTCAAGACTCAGCACCAGTATAGAAGCATCAAGAAATATGGGCCAATAGGCCCTTTGCAGTTACTTCCACTCTTCCCCTTAACTTACAAAATATTATACCCATTGTTTCGTGTTCTGTCTTGTGTTGAAAGTTGGTTTTCACCTCATCCAAAACTGTTGTAACATATCACCTCACCCAAATGCAGGTATAAAATATCGAAGCTGTTTAAACTCTGTTCAGTTATAGTTGTGTGTGTGTAAACTAAAGTTTTTGAAAATGTAATAAGTTTTACGAAACGCGCTCAAGTGTCGCGTCAGACTAGAAATAAAAATGAATTTTGGAGAATTGATTTTTCAGTTACCATCAACAGTGAAAAAAAATATAAGAAACATTGAGAAAATTCGTGTTAGAATTATTAATCTTACTTTTTCGGTCATATTTAATAATATATGTCTACAGGAAAGACTGCTACCAAAATATAATATATATATATATATATATATATATATATATATATATATATATATATATATATATATATATATATATATATATATATATATATATATATATATCGTACCTAGTAGCCAGAACGCACTTCTCAGCCTACTATGCAAGGCCCGATTTGCCTAATAAGCCAAGTTTTCATGAATTAATATATTTTCTCAATTTTTTTTCTTACGAAATGATAAAGCTACCCATTTCATTATGTATGAGGTCAATTTTTTTTTTATTAGAGTTAAAATTAACGTAGATATATGACCGAACCTATCCAACCCCACCTAACCTACCCTAACTTATCTTTATAGGTTAGGTTAGGTTAGGTAGCCGAAAAAGTTAGGTTAGGTTAGGTAGGTTAGGTAGTCGAAAAACAATTAATTCATGGAAACTTGGCTTATTAGGCAAATAGGGCCTTGCATAGTTGGCTGAGAAGTGCGTTCTGGCTACTAGGTACGACATATATATATATATATATATATATATATATATATATATATATATATATATATATATATATATATATATATATATATATATATATATATATATGTCGTACCTAGTAGCCAGAACGCACTTCTCAGCCTACTATTCAAGGCCCGATTTGCCTAATAAGCCAAGTTTTCATGAATTAATGTTTTTTCGTCTACCTAACCTACCTAACCTAACCTAACCTAGCTTTTTTTGGCTACCTAACCTAACCTTACCTATAAATATAGGTTAGGTTAGGTTAGGTAGGGTTGGTTAGGTTCGGTCATATATCTACGTTAATTTTAACTCCAATAAAAAAAAATTGACCTCTTACATAATGAAATGGGTTGCTTTATCATTTCGTAAGAAAAAATTTAGAGAAAATATATTAATTCATGAAAACTTGGCTTATTAGGCAAATCGGGCCTTGCATTGTAGGCTGAAAAGTGAGTTCTGGCTACTAGGTACGACATATATATATATATATATATATATATATATATATATATATATATATATATATATATATATATATATATATATATATATATATATATATATATATATATATATATATATATATATATATATATATATATATATATATATATATATATATATATATATATATATATATATATATATA